CCTTCTGCAATAACTTGCAGCTCTTTGACAGGATCCTTCCAGCGCATCCCAAATTTGCTGGATGCCCGTGATCCTGCAAATGCTGCTCGTGGTGGCAGTAACACCCGTGGCCGGTCACGGCACATCCATCGCCTTCCCTTCTTCCCCTGCCCGTGGGCACAGCTGGCTCCTTTTCCCCCGGCTCCTTTTCCCCCCGGCTCCTTTCCCACGCCCTGCTCTCTGGCTCCCGTGCCCTCCTTCCACAGACCTGCCCCACACCGCAGCACCTGGACACCTGGCAACACAGCCATGGATGGACTCTTTAACGAGAACAGCACTAACGATGTGATAACAAGACATTCCCAGCAGCTTTGCTAAGCAGGGATTTGCTCTGCATCTTATTTTGCTCTAGTTTCATCTTGTTTGGAGAGATCCATTGCCTTCTCTGAGCATGAGAGATGTTGTAGGTCCTTCTTTCCAGGGTTTTCTTCCTTTTCTCCAAGATTTGCTCGTTCCTGGCCAAAGCCTTTGCTCTGGTTGGTCTTGGATGGCCCAGGGAGCTTAGCGGGGGCTCAGGGCTCCCCACCATCAAGTTGTGTGAGCTGGAGCTGGGAAGGAGAAGGCTTTTTGGAGAGCTTGGTGTGGAGGTGAGGCTGCTGGCTCTGACTCGAGGAGTGCTCAGCCTGTGGACACGGAAGGGCTGCAGAGCCCCGGGGCTGCAACCGTCTCTTCTCACAGGGACCTGCAAGAAACCTCCAACCCGGGACATCCCCAAACACCTTTGAAAGGCACCACCAGCCATGGCTGTGGGGGGACAGAGCCAGGCAGCAGAGTCCTCATCCCCCCCACACCCCCTGCCCAGCCTCCTGCCAGGGGGCAGACGTGGCTCTGCTTTCACCGAGGCGCTTCAGGATGTCACCGCGAACTCGTGCACCGTCCCAGCCCTGGGAACAGGGCGCGTCTTGGGGAGAAGGGCCGCGGGCTCAGTGCCAGAGGAGGTGGCATCTCCTGCTCCTCGCAGCCCCTGGGACAGGGGGGTGCTGGCATCGGGGCACCTCGGGGAGCCTCATCCCTGGTCCTCGGGGTCTGCAGCAGCGAGGGGCTGTGTGGACGGGCTCTGTAGCAGTCCGGCATTTGCCTTTCTGTCGCCTCTTTAGGTCCGCACAGGGGAGCCAAGAAATCTCTTAACTAAATAAACAGCTCTCTCGTCCCAGATGGCATCTGTTTATACGCCAGGTACAAACAGTCCCCGCGGCTGCCCCGCTCACAGCCAGGCCAGTTCTTTCCACAAAAGCAGTCCCTGAGGGCCAGCAGTGCCGCGCGCTGGGAAGGCAGAGCCGCGCTCGGCACCGGCACCGCCGGGGCCTGCACTGGGGAAGACACCGTGGCTGGGGCATCGTCTGGAGGAGGAGGCCAGCCCTGGCTGCAGACCAGGGTCTCTGGACTCCAGTTTGGGGGTTCAAGGCACTGGGTGAAGCCGCGGCGCTGTCCTAGCCCTGGGAGGGTCTAGGGAGCTCGTAAAGGCATCACAGCTGCATCTCCCAGAGGCATCTTTCTTCCTCCTTTCCCTGAAGTCCTAAAGTCCCCCCAGCAAGGATGACATTCGCTCTGCCACCCCCGAGCCTTGCTGCCTCCTCTTCCTCCTGCAGCCAGCATCGCTGGTCACCAGCATCGCTGTCAGGTCGCCAGCATCGCTACGGTCAAGCTGAGGATGCCCAGATTAACCCCGCAGCTGTAGATCTGAGCCCGACCTAACCGTGGCTCTGAGGCCGGGCTCCCAGCTAGCAGCATCTCAGCACATCACCTTCTGCTCACCTCCGGACAGAAAGCCCACGGCGCCGGCTGGCACGCCTTGCCAAGCCATGCTGCCAAAGCCAGGCACCCAGGAAGAGTCGGGCCAGACGCGACGGGCAGAAGCTGCGTGCTCCCCGTCTGCGGAGCAGGGAGAAGGAGGTTTAAACTGCCAAATCCAGACCCAGACTTTACAATAGGATCCTCTCCCGCACAACAAACTTGGTGCCGATGTCAGGGGTCTGTCTGTCTTCAGTTATCTGTTCATAGCATTGGCTCGTCTCTGTTGGGAGTGGAGGTGTCTCGTATCTGATGGTCGGGGAGGTGAATCCTGCCCCGGTGCCCTGCTCTTACTGCATTGCTGTCACAACGTCTTGGTCCTGTGCCTCCAGGCACACGAGGAAGCGAATCCAGTGCCATAAGAAAGCCAACGGGCTGGAAGGCTGCGTGCACCGAGCTGCCATCGAAGGCTTTGATTGCAGAAGCAGAACGTGTGGAAACGCTGCTGATGGGAGACTGTTCCCGGCCGCATCGGCCATGGGCGAGGCATTTTTTGTGTCCTGGAGCTGCCGGTGCTGGCTGTGGTCAGCAGCAAGGCACAGGACAGGGTGTGAGAAGGGTGAGCTTCAGGTGCTTGACAAAAATACCAAAAATTACGTGGAAAAGGGGTTCGACTGACAAGGCAAATGACCAAATGGCCCTAAAGCATGAAGGGAAAGAGGAAAATCCTTTGCTGCCAGAGGTAGTTTGTAAGAAAATAGTCATCAGGCCTTGGGGTTGCATCCCTCTGCATGCAGGGAGGATGTAGTCGCTGCCTGAAGGTCAGCGTTGGAGAGCTGAAAGCCAGACTGAGCTCCTCCTGCATAGCGAAGTCCCGCGAACACAACAGTGGCATCGCGATAAGCATAAAAGCAAAGGCAAAAACTGCTTTTGAAGAGTGAATAGTCACGGAGGCAGACAAAATGAAAGCCGTGATGCTTGCCAGCCCACTAAGGAATGAGCGGGAACCTTGGCTGGCCTGGAGGTAAAAGAAACGCAGGAGGTGCAGAGCAGCGGTGCTTGACTTCTTGGCACAGCGAGACGGGGAGATCCCAGGGCAGGGGAGGGGGTGCCAGCTGCAGTGACACTGCTTTGCTCAACCCGCACAGCAAAATCTGCGTCCTTCCCCGAGACCGCCCCAGTTAAGCTCTGCCCTCCTATGGCGCCTTTGGACACTGGAAGAAGATGTGCTGGGAAAACATCAGCCATTAAAAAGCGCTAAACGCCGTGTCCCCATTTCCTTGGGTTTCTGCAGGGAGCTCAAAAATGCAAACTTATGTTAAAAGGGGGCCCATTTCAGAGAGCCCAGGGTTGGGTGTGCTTCATGGAGTCAAACCCAGTTGGCAGCCGGTCACCAGTGGTGCTCCCCAGGGCTGGTACTGGGGCCAGTCCTGTTCAATATCTTTATCGATGATCTGGAGGAGGGGATCGAGGGCACCCTCAGTCAGTTGGCAGCCGACACCACGTTGGGTGGGAGCGTTGATCTGCTGGGGGGCAGGGAGGCTCTGCAGAGGGCCCTGGCCAGGCTGGGGCGATGGGCCCAGGCCACTGGGGGA